GCTCCGAGCCGAGCCGGCGCTCCCGAGTGTCCCAGCGAGGCTTTGCAGTTGTCTGTCTGTTTGTAGAGCTTAGAGAAGATCATTCAGCGCGATTTCTTCCCTGACGTGGAGAAGCTGCGAGCACAGAAGGAGTATCTGGAGGCTGAAGAAAACGGCGACTTAGAGAAAATGAGACAAATTGCTATTAAGTTTGGCTCCTCCTTGAGCAAGTCATCGAGGGACACACCTGCACCCTGTAAGGACTGGCTCTCTGGGGCATGAGGGGTTTGTGTCTGATATTGGTGCTCTGCTTTATCTAACTTTGTGCAGGTAGTGCTGAGCTTAAAGATTCGAGATTTATGTTGCATGAGAATTACTGTACCAGACTGGGCAGTAGCTGATGGCTACTCTGCATTTCTCTTTGATGGTGTCTAATAACTCCTTGAAGGAATAGTTTTGGAAAAAGCAGCATTTGAATACCCATTCCTTATAGGCATCTTTTGTCAGGTTCCTGCTCCCTGGGGAGTGTTAGATGTTCTGATATGCAGTATTAATATTATCAGAAATTCTAAGCTATCTTTTGAATCATGCTGTAGTTTTAGGGGTTCTTGTTGCATCTACAGACAGTTAAGATTTTCATGTATTAGAGACGGAAGTTGTTGGAAGCTTGTGATTACCAGAGGTTCCCATGGCAGGCATCCAGTGCTCTGTTGTATGTTTCCTTTCACTCCCAGTTTCCTGGGGTTTCCTAAAGCCCAGCCCCTGGCTGAGCTCTCACAGTGGGGTTTGGATTAGTGGCTTTCTTGTGGCAAAGGGCACATGTCACCAAGTGGTTTCCCTTCTTCCCCCATGGCAGGGACTGGCCTTGGCTTGGGTTAAGATTGTTCTGCTGCTGCTGTTGTCCTCTGTTGGCAAGAGCAGGGAGTAGGGTGGCAGATACACTAAGCTGTGGCTCTTCAGGGAATTTCTCCCAGCAGGAAGAAAATAATGTCTGAGATGAGACCAAAGTCATATTCAGTAGTTGAGACAGAATTGAACAGAATATTTTGGAGCATTTTCACAACTTTTTAGTTAATTCTTGTTCTCTTGGGATGTCTTCTGTGGCTTGTTTGGCACATGACCCTTATAGCAAGAGTCCTGTTCTGTGCTCTAGTAACCACGTGAACATCTTTTCTCTGTCACAGATGTTACCCCAGCCACGTTTGAAACCCCAGAAGTGCATCCAGGTGGCCTTCCCCTGGGAAATAAATCCAAAGCTGGGACCAAAGTTGCAGAGGAAGGTAGGAGAATAATGTTTCTCTAGCTGAATTCGTCAGTGGCAGGAAAGTATTTTTGCGAGCTCTGTCTCTTGTAAGGGTTTTGGGTACTCAGTAGATGTGTAAACAGTTTCCTTATATCTTCTAGTAGATGAAAATTATCCCTCTGAAGTTGAACTAGATGTAATGCTTTATATCATGTGAGCGAATTCTTTTTATGGTTGTGTAAATTCTTAACTCATATGATCTCTTCAAATGCAGTAAGTTTTTCCTGTGTCACCTGAAATTAATTCTGTAAGTAGCCAGAGATTGTAGGGGCAGAGATGTTCCTACAGCATATTAACAGCCGGCCACTTGTGTGTTTTATCTTTAAAACAAATATCTGTAAAAGGTATTATGTGAAAGTTGGTTATAAGTCTTCCAAGATAGATTTATTACTGTACCACTCTGTGCGAATATGTTTTTCTCACCAAGCTTCATGTTAGTTATTAGTGTGTCTGTGGAAGGTTTGCTGGCAGGAGGATGAGTTATATATAGCACAGAAAGGGAGGCATTAACCTTTCTTGGGCTTTTTCTCTCCTCTTGTTAGGAGAAGCAGAAAAAGATTATAAAGATGCACTTCCCAGTCTGGACAGCTTCTTGGCAAAGCACACGAGTGAAGATAATGCTTCGTTTGAGCAGATCATGGAAGTGGCCAAAGAGAAGGAGAAGGTCAAGCACGCGTGGCTGTACAGCGCTGAGGAGGAGTACACCCGGGTAGGCAGCTGGCTCAGTTCTGTCTCTGTGCTTTCAGAGGGACACAGCAGGGAAATGCCATTTTACTGTATTTCTTGCTTGAGTAATGGAATATTATCTTGCCTTCTGTTTTTGAATGATGCTATAAATGTGGATGAGAACTTATTGGCTCTGAGCATGGGCTGTTGTGTTAGACTGTTATTCATATTATAGAATAAGAATAGAAAAACCTTGATTTTGAATGATGGGTGTGTGGAGTGATCACAACTAAATTGCTAAACCACTTGAACTAAGCCAGAGTTCCCTGGGTCCTCTGACTGCTCATTGCTTCCTTATGCAGTCCTGTTTTTTCCCCATCTCTCAGGCAAGAACAGTGTTCACATAATTGCTGAAGGTTTGTCTCTTCTGAAAGCTCTGACACACCTCAAAGCACTGTACTGGGTGCAGGTATTGCTGTCTTGCAAGTCTCTTCTGTAAGCAGCAACACCAGGGAGAGCAGCTGAGAACAGTTCCTGATGTTTGTCCATCAGCCCTTTATTATTTGCAGTTAGATTGTCTTATTTCAGTATTCTCTTTCTATTATGAGTAATAATCCATTCAGCTGCTGAAGTACAGTACTGTACAGCACGGCTGGCTGTGCTTTCCTCAGCTAGCTCTGTGGAAGGTTCAGGAGCTGTTCTGTGGCTGCCTTGTCAATCTTAAACCATCAGCAGTGAGCAGCTGGCACTGTTGCCAGATGTCAGCGATGGCTGTGGGCTACAGTGTCTTTAATGAAGTTTGGCACTGACACGAGTGTTTTTGCTGTTGTTGAGAGTAAGTGTTATTTTTTAGCTGAGTCAATGTAAACCGTCAGAGTCTGTTACAGTAAAAATGCCCTCTGTGGCTCATTATACATCTTTGTTCGAATGCTTTCATCCAGAATTAGAAGACAGGCAGCAGGAGAGCATTCACAGAACACAGGGGTTGTTTCAGGTTAAGGTGAAGTTACGGGAGCTGGTTTTGTGCTGAAGTTGTGTCTTCCTGTCAGCTAGTACAGTGCTCATACCTTGCACTTCTGTGCACAGCATTCCTGTTTGGGTAGTGGACAGCTTCACTAGGCCTTATTTAACTTATTCAGAGACAGTGCTGCTATTCAAGTGTGTATGAGTGGTACCTATTTTAAAGGCAACGTCAGTTGATGTCTTTAATTTATGGCTATTGGCAGTAATTGTGTATTTAATTGATGTGAGAATCAAAAAAAACCCCAACAGCACACAAAGTAGTCCTGTGAGTGTGTCAGATGCTTCCATACCTGTACTGACTATGGGAATGTTTGGAAACTTTAAGTATCAAAGAAGTGTCTTTTAAAACTTTTTTTCATTGCCCTTTCACAGCGACAAAATGAAAACTTGGCACTTCCTTCAGCAGAGCAGCAAGCTCTGGAGAATGTGAAAGCTGGACTGGATACCTGGGAATACACAGCTCGAAACACCCTGATGTATTACCCAACAGGTGAGGTGTGCAGGTCTCTTGGGAAAAGCATTGGTTCTAGGTGGGTTGACTCCAAGCAGTGCTTACAGGATTTCTCTAGATGTCTGAGCAGCTCTTACAGGTAGCACTGCACTTTTGTGAAACTCAAATATGTAAAGTTGTTTTTAAAAAGTATTTTTTCTTTTTTTCCTTTTCTTCCTTAATTTCTTAGTTCTTTGCCTCTAATTCCAAAGTTTAATCATTTTCTATTTGTCATTAAGAGCTCATTATTTGTAGTATAGAAGAACTTGTTTTCAAGAGCCAAAGCTCTTTCCAGTTTGGTTCTGCTGAAAGAGTGCTCCTTGGACTTGTTGGTCCCTTTGTTGCTGTAGAAAAACATGTGTTTTTGTAAATGTGGAGCTTTTTTTGGCTGTAAATGTACAGTTGATAATTTCTCTGAACCAGTGAAGTAGAGAAAATAAAGTCTTGCTGACTGTTTTCTTAAAGAAAGTATCTGATCTTAATTTGTATGTTTCAGGTGGTGCAAGGCATGTATGCAGTGCAAATTTTGTTCTAAATTGCTAGAAATAGACACTGCAATTGCTGATGTGTTCTGTGTTGTGTAGGAATGTGTGGCAAGTGCCATGTTGGTCAGGAGCTTTAGAGCACACTGGCTGGTGTTATCTGAGCCCTTTCTTAAAAGACGTTTTGCTTTTCAAGGTGTACCTGATGAGAGTGATGTATTTAAGAAGCCCAGAGAAGTTGTGCATCGAAACACACGTTTTGCGAAGGACCCGTTCAGCCAAGCTGTGAGCAAATCACAGCTCCAACAAGCTGCAGCCCTCAATGCTCAGGTGGGATAATTTTACTTCTTCTCCCTAAAACCTAGTTAGGCTCTGCCCTCTGGTGTAGTTTACCACCAGGAGAACTGTGTATGTGTGCTCGCCACAGCTGACTCACACCTTTCTCCATATGAATAGCATTGTCTTTCTTTATTTCAGTACAAACAAGGCAAAGTGGGACCAGATGGGAAAGAACTGATACCCCAAGATTCTCCAAAAGTGAATGGATATGGATTTGTGGCTACCCCCTCTCCTGCCCCTGGTAAGAGGGTTTTCTTATTTCTTCTGATGTAAGAGGACTACTGCTGCACTTATTCTGATGCCTTGTTTCTTCAACACTGGGGTATCATTACTGGATTGGACAAGGAGGTAAACCTATCTGTATGTATCTCATCAGCTGGTGACATTTCGTGTGCTGTGTGTGCTTACTCCATGCAGTGCTTAAATCCTAATCCAAGACACTGGTAGGAGAAGTCACCCTGTACCAAGAGGCTCTGAGCCAGCTGCTGTGCCATTGCTCAGGAATCATCTAGAGTACAGTGAGCCTTCCTAGGCAACCTCAGTGCTGTGGCTGCTTTTGTTGTCCCTGGGTAATGCTTCTCTAGAGCTTAAAGATAAGAATTCAAACATTTCCCAAACATTAACCTTCCAAGGAGTACAGGTGCTCATTTTTCAAAACGAGGAACATTCCTGTCAGTGTGTCCTAACTGAGTGATGGTTCAGCCTGGCTCATAGGGATGTGGCATATCTCACTTTCTTCTCAGTCTAACCCACTCTTTTCCTCCAGGTCTAGTGCTTTCAAGGTTCTTTTGTCTGGATGCACTTGTTCAGATGTAGTAGCTGCAGGATGCTTTCAGTTGGAGAAAACGGATTATTTTTCTTCCAGTTGGAATGTGTTACCTGAGCTTGTAGCTGTTCTTCACCAGTCATGCTGTTTCCCTGTGTTTTTGTCGTTTTGCCAAAAGCTGAACATGCTGAGACTTTCCCTGTGGAAAGCCTGTAGGTGGCGTTTGGCATGCACCTCCTTTCTCCATTGTGAATGCCTTTTCCAAGCCCTGGACAGTGGGATGTTCTAGCTCTCGGAATCGATTCTGCAGCTGTTAGACAAGGTGCTGCAGTCACTGTTTGGTACAGGCTGTCCCCAAAGTAGAATGGAGGACACATTTGGCTATTACATGTATCTCAAGTCCTCTGCCCCTTTCCCTATTTATAAATAGTTCCCTGTGTTGAAGGGGATTTCACGCAGTGGCAGAGGGGAAGGCTAGTACCACAGAGGTAAAAAATGAAAGTGTTACTAAGCCAAAGTTCACCAAATGGAAAAATAAACATATGGAAAGGACAGTGCTTGGTTGTTGCAACTGAGAGGGTGAGGCAGCTATAGGCAATCCTGTGAGTTTGAGGTCATGCCCTTTTAATGGGAACCACATGTAACTATTCAGGTTGGTTGTGACTTCCTCTGCAGTGGAGGGACTTCTTTGTGTGTTGATGAATATTCTGCATTTCCTAGTTTGCTTTTCTGGGATTTTTTTCTTGTTTTGTGGTGAATGAATAGTCAAATGTCTTGCATGGACATGACATTTTAAATTTGTTTTTAGGTGTGAATGAATCTCCTTTTATGACGTGGGGTGAAATTGAAAGCACCCCTTTGCGGCTAGAAGGGTCAGACACACCGTATGTGGACAGAACACCTGGACCAGCCTTCAAGGTATTTCATGGCAGGAGTCAGCATGCCATTCTTTTTGGTGGGGACTAGGGAGGGAAAGACAAGTGAGTATGTGATAGATTAACATTGTTGTGGAGTGTAACACGTGTCTGGGTGGTGTTCCCAGTCCTTGAGACTAATAGTCTTGTTTCTGCTTGGAGAGTGGAAGTAAACATGGCTCCACATGAAAGCTACTTGGTGGAGGTACCTGAGGTGGAATAAACACTGTTGGCAGGAGAGTGAGATTCCATATTTGACGGTGTGCCCAGCAGAGGGGCTGTCAGTAAGCTGAAGAGATGCTTGATTTCTCTGATTTTAATGTATGAAGGGGTGGAAATTGTAGGATTTCCCCTCTTATTTTGGTCTTCTGGCTGTCACAGCCTGAGGCAGGTGTATCAGTTGAGAGTAGAAAAGATGCTCAGCTTGGCTAATGGCACCTAACCCTGCATGCCACCTGTCTCCTGCTGGTGTCATTGAATGTGAGCTGTCTGTGACTCCTAGTTTAAGAAAGGTGTAATTTGCTATATGTGCCTCTGTTTTGTCAGACTCCAAGGCCCTTGACTGGTTCTCCTGCTGTTTAGCAATGTCTGTGTTTGCCTGAGAGCTGGCTGGCCACAGGCTAGGCAAGACACAGGTGACAATGTTTGTCTAGGAGAGACAGCAGGAGGAAATGCCAGAGGTAATGGCTGCTTCCTTGACTGGACTGGTTTTACCATTTTTGTTACTTGCTAAGGCAGGTCGATGGTCTCTGTGTCCTCTCTAGCAGCAGAGAGGTGTGAGCTGATTGCACTTGTCCCTGGTCTAGATCCCTGTATACTGGAATCCAGCTGTGAAGGGGCTTTGACTCATTTTTTCAGCATACTTTGGTGAGTGAACTGTGTGATGCATTTATAGATCCTGGAGCCTGGGCGCCGTGAGAGGTTGGGACTCAAGATGGCCAATGAAGTGGCAGCTAAAAACCGAGCAAAGAAGCAAGAGGCACTTCGAAAAGTGACAGAAAACTTGGCCAGGTGAGACTTGTGTTTTGACAGCAGAACTGGGGATGGGTATTATCTGATGAGATTTAAATCAACAGATGTAGAAAGGGAGGAATGGTGGGAAGGAATGATACTAGGAGCTGGAAGAGGTATATTCAGACTGAAAGTTTTTAGAAATTAAAAATGTAGAAATTAAAAAGCTTAATTCCTGAAGGAAAGTGGCTGGTGGCTGTCTTGTCAGCATTGCTGCTCTGCCCTAGAGCTACCCAGCAGTGCCTCTGAATTGGTGTCTTGCCTCATTGCAAAGAGGAGACATGATAACAGTTGCTTGGCTGGGTCATAGCAAGGACAGAACAGGCTCAAAGGAAGTCAGGCAGCGCTACTTAGGTTTGGGAGGGATGTAGGAGGTTTCTTTGTCACTTGTCTCTCTAGAGAGACAGACTGCATTTACCTGCAGGCAGAATGATTTCTGCAGGCAGTGGGTCTGGTCTGTGGGACAAGTGTTTACTGAGCTCACCTGTGGAGGCAATAATGCTTTTTCTGTTACAGGCAGACTTTTTTATTGTGCAATCTTTTAAAACTGTTTATTCTATTCCAGCCTCACTCCAAAAGGACTAAGCCCAGCAATGTCACCAGCTTTGCAGAGACTAGTAAACAGGACTGCAAGTAAATACACTGACAAAGCTCTGCGAGCCAGCTACACTCCTTCCCCAGCCCACACAGGAACTCCTGGTTACAAGACCCCTGCGAGTGGGCCTCAAACACCCACAGGCACCCCACAGGCTAGGACAGTATCTCACACACCAGTATCTCAGGATACTACATCGATCACGGACAATTTACTGCAGCTTCCTAAAAGAAGAAAAGTATCTGATTTCTTCTGAATATACCAATCACCAGCAAGGTGATGGTGACCTGGCTGTGCTCAGCGGACTGCAGACAGGTTGTTGGACACTGAGAAAATGGACATAATTTCTTAAAGATGTATTTCTCTTTTTAAGATGACAATGCATTTAAATTTGTTTCTGTACAGTTATGTCTATTTCTAAAGCAGAGTAAGCCTTCCTAAAATGTTGAACTGGACTTTGTTCTAGCTTGTCAAACTTCTTTGAGTTTGTACTTCGCAGAAGAAGGGACACAACCATGTGTATACTGAGATGTGACAGTTTTAGAGAGTATCTCTTCAATTTTGGTTTAAAGTGATGTAGTTCACAAGTTAGACCAACTTTGTGATCTTGTTAAAACCAACCATCCTTAACAGGATCCTGCTTCCTCCTCCATTCTTCACATTTGCACAGAATGGGACTGACTTCCAGCTTCTGGTGTTCTTGAGAGAGGCTCGCACCAACACTTTCCTCAGAAGAGCTCTGAGAATCCCTCTTTTGCAATTTGATTGCTTCACTTTAATCAGCCTCTGGGGCTGATTTCAGTCTTTTCAGATTTGTTTTTATAGCTGCTCTCTGTGTGACTTCAAAGACTTGATGTTGATGATCACAGCACAGGGGCTAGGGACAGTCCTGCTTCATCCACCATGATGACAGTGCCATTCTGAAGAACAGAAGTGGTACTTCTGATAGCCACACTGGGGCTTTTGTTTGGTGCTTTCCTCCCATTCTTTGGAACTTTTGGCTAATTTTTAGAATTGGCCAAAAAAAGAAGAGCATTTTTAACTATCTGAGCCTGCACTCAGAGCTGTGGTTGCTCCAGTATGAGCTCACCTTTGTGTGTGGGGTGTGCCCTTGTCTGGTGTCATCTAGCCTGGAGAAGTACTGTGCACCTTTTAGGAGGAAGCAGGCGTAGCCAGATGTGTGTACTCTTCTTGCACCTTGCCTGAGTACTAGACAGCCTGTTTAACACTTGGCAGTGTCGACAATTGCTATAATCAGGTGGTGTTTTACTGAGGGAACATCATTATGCAGCTCTTGGAGAAGAGTGCAGTCTTCTCTAAGGTCTGGGGTGTTGGATGCTTTGTTTGTTGTGATGGAGGACTTCCTCTTGTGTGGTTTCCCCTGCCACTTCCAAAACTTTTGGCCCTGACTGTGAAAAACCCTTCCAAGAGACTCAGTTTTTATAGTGCACCTTGTAAAAATAAATTGATCAGTGTGGCATT